TCATTTGGCGCCATCCCGGATTCGAGGAAGTAGCAAAAGCCTCAGTTGCTTTCAAGCTCGTTTTTCCTCAGATCTCATGTGTTTTCATCTCAGGTTTTTTCAGATCTGTTAATCTCTAGTATGATTTGCTCAGATCTGTTCATGTTTGACATAAATTTGTTTAGATCCATTTGGCTTCTACCAAGATCTGTTCAAATCGATGTGTTTCTTGACAAGATCACTTCAGATCTGTTTAACCTTCGTTCATATCTTTTGATATGCTTACTTTTTAGTCTAGATCTTTGGATCTGTTGAGCTTTTCTCGTTCAGATCTTTAGATCTGTCTCGTTTTCTTGCTCAAATATGGTGTGATATTTCGTTTTCGTTCATCTGAACAAATTTAAGCTTCAAAAGATATTATGAGATCTATTTTTTTGTTCATACTTTGATGTGTTCTTCAGCAAGTAATGAAGAATGAAACTCTTATGAGTTCGTGTTCAAATAACTTTGAGTAGAAGAGAAATTGTTGAGAAGAAGAGAAATTCTTTGTGGTTATTTACCTTCATTCAAGTTGGTGTTCTTTGGAGACTCCAAAAAAGAAAACAAAAAATTTATGAGATCTGCTTCTTTTTCATATTTCAATGGCTTCTTGAGCAAGCAAAGGGGAAAAGAAGGTTCATGAGGAGAAAACCTCATCAGATCTCGTTTTTTTTTATATCTTGAGGTTTTTCAAAAGGTTGAGAAGGAAAAGAAGTTTTATGAGTTTTAAACCCACTTTCATTGCCTCACAAGATCAGAAAATCATTTGTTAATTGGCTTTTTCCGTATATAACTCCATTTTACAACTTCAGCTCTTGGATTCATTTGCATTTTGGTGATTTCTTGAGCATTGAAAAGGAAAGAGGTTTCTACAGTTCATAAACCATCCTTTTTGTTCCAATTGAGAAGAAAATCTGTTTTTTAGATAAGGATTTTTGTATGTTTTTTACCAATTTTGACAGCTGCTTGTAAGCATTGCTATGTTTCCTGTACATTTGCAAAAAAAAAAAAAAAAAAAAAAAAAAAAAAAAAAAAAGAGAGAGAGAGAGAGAGAGAGAGAGAGAGGAAGAGAGAGGAAAAATGACTTAAGCTCATAATCTTCTATAAATCTCTAACCCTGTAATTATTTTGCTTGTACACAAAGCTGTGTCGATTGTACATTTCTTAAAACCCACAAAAGAATCGTTTATTCCTTCTCACCAAAACCACCAGATTATATTTTGTTATTTTTACCTCAAAGGTTTATCCTGTCCTTTTCAAATCTCATTGTTCAGTAAAAAAAAAAAAAAAGGGGGGGAGGGGGAGAAGAGTAGTACACTACTACTGCTACTCGTAAAGCATTTCGAAATAGCCCTCCACAATTGTGTTGCTCGACTATCAACAGCTGTGTTGATCAACTTCAGGCATTCTTGCTACTCAACTCTCACCAATCATGTTGACCGGCACCCGCTAGTCTCGCTGCTTAGTTCGAAGCAGTCGTGGTGCCTGGATCTCAGTAGTCGCACAGCTCGGCCCAGAGCAGCTATACGGCCCAACTCAGCAGCCGCAAAGCCCAATCATCAGCAGTTACGCTGCTTAGCTTTCGGCTACCGCCCTACCCAATTTTTGTTAGTACTTGAGGTTGCTTAGCTCTTTCCAGCAGCTATATATCTCACCTTTCAGCAACTACACATCCGTCTTCCCTTTTCTTCGCCTCCTCTAAAAAAAGGGGGGGGGGAATATGGTTGGTACGACACCATGTAAAAGTGATCTTTATTCCGAAGGGGCAGAGTTAAAGTACATGAAGAGCTGATGTTATGCATGATAGTGCATCCCGGAGGTGACGTTCGTATTCCGGACCGAAAGAGCAGCCCCATGGTTCAACCCTTGGTAGTCTCGTTGCCCAACTTTAAGTGGCCGCGTTGCCCACCTATCGCTTGCAGCTCGCTCCCCGGACCTTAGCGGCCCTGCTGACCAGTTCTTGACAGTGGTCTCGCTATCCACCACTTGATGGTAGTTACACTATCAAGCTCTAAGTAGCACCGCCACATAGCTCTCCGCAAACAGCCAAGACATCGAGAAATCATTTATTAGTACGACTAGCGGTGCAGCAAAGCATCAGTTACCATTCCGCTTAAACTGAAACTGGTCACACGAGTTAGACACATAGATTGTAGGGTGCTACGCCCCGCATGTGAGGTTCAACACCCTCGCCTCGAGTCGCCTGGCTTCTCAGCCCGACTCCATTATAGCGGCAAGCTCCACATGGGAGGTCCAGTACCCTCGCCTCGAGTCGCCTGGCTTCTCAGCCCGACTCCATTATAGCGGCAAGCTCCGCATGCGAGGTTCAGAACCCTCGCCTTGAGTCGCCTGGCTTCTCAGCCCGACTCCATTATAGTGGCAAGCTCCGCATGCGAGGTTGAGTACCCTCACCTCGAGTCTCCTGGCTTCTCAGCCCGACTCCATTATAGCGGCAAGCTCTGCATGCGAGGTTGAGTACCCTCGCCTCGATTCTCTTGACTTCTCAGCCTGACTCCATTATAGCGGCAAGCCCCACATGCGAGGTTCAGTACGCTCGCCTCGAGTCTCCTGGCTTCTCAACCCGACTCCACTATAGCAGCACGCTCCGCATGCGAGGTTCAGTACCCCTGCTTCGAGTTGCCTGGCTTCTCAGCCCGACTCCATTATAGCAACAGGCTTCGACCATTCCACGCGATGCTCTTCCACGTGATTTATCTATGATCGCTGGCAACTAAGCCCGATCCATCCCACACGATGCTCTCCCGCATGAGGTATCTATGCTCGTTGGTAGCTAAGCCCGATCCATTCCATGCGATGCTCTCCAGCGTGATGTAGCTACAATCACCAGCAACTAAGCCTGATCCATCCCACGCGATGCTCTCCCCCATGAGGAATCTATGGTCATTGGTAGCTAAGCCCGATCCATTCCATGCGATGCTCTCCCGCGTGATGTAGCTACGATCACTAGCAGCTAAGCCTGATCCATTCCGTGTGATGCTATCCTGCATAACACCTCCATGATCATTGGCTGCTAAGCACAAGCTATTCTCCTAAGTCGCGCATCATAAGTCGCGCATCACAAGCTTCTTCCACACCATGATCTTGGCGTTTCCTATCTCACAGTCATCACGACTCTCAGGTGTTCGAACGATCGGTGAAGTGTTATCGGCATTACAACCTGCTATAGTGAGGATACTCTCCAGTAAGAAGGTCATCCCGACAGCGGCCCTGCTACCTACGACCCCACATTACCTCTGTTTCCTGGCTCTTGGAAATGGTCTCGCTGTGTGACCCCACCTGTAGCCTCGTCGCGTACCCCAAAGCATCTCTGTTTCCTAGCTCTTGGAAATGGTCTCGCTGTGCAGCCCTACCTATAGCCTAGTCGTGTACCCCACAGCATCTCTGTTTCCTGGCTCTCGGAAATGATCTTGTTGTGTAGCCCCATCCTATAGACTCACTGCCTATCAATTCTATTTTCTGGCTATCGACAATAGTCTTACTACATGACCCTCGCTAAGCAACCTAGTCGCCATGCTCTCAAAATCTATTCCTTGCCTCCCCTAAGAAAACGGGGGGGGGGGGGGGGGGGGAATAGGGTTGGTACGCTGCAATGCAGACTATGTAGATGGTTACTGGTGGCATCCCATCTCACATGGCTACCACAACAATCACGTCGGATAACCTGAATGGCAAGCTTACGCTTCATAGTTACCCCGATCCGACATTCCTCCAACATCAGTGTCGCGTAACACTCTTTAGCAGCCTCGGTCCGCATGATCGCAGCAACAGTTTCGTTGCATCTCACCGACTAGCTCGCACTCCTCTCAATGAAGGAGTATCAAGTCAACTCAAGCAGCGTTTGGCTCATCGCATAACCCCACGACGTTCGTGGGCAAGGTTCGGTCATTTCTCTTTATTATTTAAATGCTTTGGTGCTTTAACTAGTCCGATCCGATTGTCAGCAACCCAATTGCATCAGACTAGGGGGACTTGACAATGCATAATTTATTTGACTAAGTCTAGTCCGATGTCATTGTCCGCGTACCAATACCATCAGACTGAGGGGGACTTGATGAGATATCGTCCACTAGCATGGCCCAGACTATTCTAGCATGTCAGCCAAGCCTGGCACGCTCCCGCTAGCCTTTCCTAGCGTTCTCCTGCCAACATTCCTGGGGACTCTCTTGCCAGCCTCGCTCGTGACTCTCCTGTTGGTTTATATGATTAAGTCCAGTCTGATGTCATTGGCCGCGTACCAATACCATCAGACTGGGGGGAGTTGATGGGATATGGTCCACTGGCGTGACCTAGACTGCTCTAGCGCGCCAGCCTGGCCTGGCGCGCTCCTACCAGTCTTGATGGGGACTACCTTGCCAGCCCTACTAGGGACTCTCATGCCAGCTCGGCCAGGCGCTCCCTTACCATCCTCTCCTGGTGCGCGCCCACCAGCCCTGTCTGGGGCGCGTCCGCCAGCCCCGCCCGGCGCCTCCGGGCGGCCTTGCCCAACTCCTTGCTAGTTGGGCCTGAATGGGGCTTGCCCCAAGGCCTGACCTAATTGTCCCCTATATAATGAATAGTACCTCCTCCATAGAGGAGGACCTTCCCCTAGACTCTCCCCCAAGTGGTCCAGCCACCACTAGACTTCCCCATGGCTCAGCCGGCACTATACCCCGATTGGGTGGCTTAGTCGCTACCCACCGCCACCATACATCGCCACTAACACCAAGATGTTTCTCTCCAGCTATGGAGGACTATCTCAGATCTTCTAGCTGATCTAACTTGACCGTCGGAGCCCGCTCCCGGGGCACAGTCCCTGGGGCGGCTCTAATGCATCTCTTTGATTGTGATGTTAGATCTCCACCGCAGCAGAATACCAGAAGACTCACTAGAGGCTGATGTTCCATCATTTACTCTGATAATGAACATGTGTTTTGAAAACTTATACTATAATTATGTTTTGGAATGATGAATTTGTTTAATGTAATGTTTTATTAAAAGAAATAATTTGTCTTGAATTATGGGTCGTTACAAGTTGGTATCAGAGCCTTGGTTTGAGGGATTCAGACATGCTCTCGGGTGTGTCTGAACTCAAACTGAGGAATTGGTATAGAAGATTTCAAAATGAAAAGACAGTTTTGTAAAAAGAAAGTTTTGAGAAAGAAAACAGTTTTAGAAATGCAAAAAGAATTCAGAAAGAAAAGAACTTTGAAAAGAGAAAAGAGGTGTGGTGCATGCAATCAACCGAGCTCAAGTAAGTACCCCAAAATACCCATACAAGTCTATGTTTTGACTATCAGTTAATAGAACAACATACTAGATTAGGACTAACGATCTAGGGATGATGCCTTATGTGCCTATTCTATGTGCTTTTGATCTGCATGATAGTGCTGACTAGATAGTAGTAGGATAGCATGTTTAGGTTATGCCTGAGTTTATGAGTTTGTGTTGCATGCTAGTTCAGATTCTTGATAGGATATTATGATTACTTGAATATGTTATGATTAGATTTTTCCCTTTGTCTGAATGTTGCATGCTTTGTGCATTGTGGGATTCTGAGTGACGGGAGTTAGCCATTAGGTGGATACGCCACGTCACATGTGATCACGGTTGAATAATCTCAGAGTGTTGGATTTGGTCCTATTGCGCAGCTCTTGTTTGAGTCCAACCGTTATAGGGACAAGTTTTTTACTTGAAGGATTATCTGAGCCTCGTCACATGTGACGGTATCCTGGTGATGGCTAGTTGGCATCACAAGGAGACCTTTAGCAGCTGAGGACTGGTTTGAGTTGATTCAGAGGTTTCCCTAGGGTAAGCCTAGGATGAGGTAGTGCTTCGAGTAGTAGTAGTAGAAACTAGACCTGGTGGAGTCGAAGCAGTTCTTGAGGAAAGTACGGATAGATGTGGAAGGTAGTATGGGCCCGTACTATCGAAAGCAGAGGATCCGTACTCGATTCGGGAAGAGCTGAGACAAAACTGTGAACCTAGTAGTGCGTATGTTGGTCTCGCAGCAGTGAGGAGTATTCTGATAGTGGTTATATTTTATGTTTCAGCATGGTGACGTTGCGAGAGAGACCAGCAGGCGGATCAGGCGTCGGAGAGGGATCGGGCTCGGGTTCAGGGGGCGAGCAGCTCAAGGAGCGGATGAGGGAGTTGATATCAACTGAGGTTACGCGCTATATTCTAGCTCAGACTCCTATGATCTTTGGCACGGTCAAGGAGGGTATATTGGAGATTTTGGATGAGAGGCTGTGAGCCTTCCGTACTGAGATGATGGCATTGATGGGAGCGCGTACATTGACATTTCGGGAGTTCAAGGCTTGCGGGGCACCAGATTATCATGGGGCTAGGGACCCCATCGCTAGCAGCAGATGGTTGGCTGATGTTGCCAACGCGTTCCGTACGAGCCGGTGTCCTGAGGAGGACAAGGTCAGACTCGCTTCCTGTCTTCTGAAGGACAGAGCGAGGGATTAGTGGGAAGAGATTGGTCATGCCTTGGATAATGATTCCGCGTTAGACGCGATGACTTGGAGCGATTTCTCAGCTAGGTTCAGGGTGGAGTTTTCGCCAATTATTGAGGTGCAGCAGTTGGCCCGGGAGTTTCAGGATTTGACGCAGACCACTGAGACTGTGGCGGAGATCACCGTCAAGTTCAGGGAGAGGGCCCTTCTTGTTCCACAGTATATCGCGGATGAGGAGATGAAGAAGGCCCAATATCACAAGATGTTGAGGGCTGATATCAGGGAGTTCGTGAGCAGGTCCAACTGTAAGACGCTGGAAGATATGATTTCTCGGGGCAGGGAGAGGGAAATTGATTTGGAGCAGATCCCAAGGGATCGGATTCGAGATCGAGGGATTATCAGGACCGCAGTCGATGCGGGAAGTGTGGTACGATGCATGGTGGCGCGTGTAGGAGTGGTAGCGGTGGTGAGTCTGGCTGCTTTCAAGTAAGGTCGGACCGGTCATTTTAGCAGGGATTGTACTGTTACCACAACTCAGGGATCAGACTTGATATGTTTTCACTACAATCAGCGGGGCCACAAGAAGGCCTAGTGCCCTAGTTTGTTTTCAGCAGGACGGGTGATGGCACTTGCCCCTACAACTTTGAGGATCACAGACGCTCGTCAGGGCCGTGCAGAGGCGCCTGAAGTTGGAGGCAGGGCTTTTTAGATGGCTACCTTGGAGACGTGAGTAGCACCGGACGTTGCAGGTATGCGACTTCCATTTTTCAGTTCTTTTATTTGTGCATGATTATATTGTTATGGTTCTGCATCATTATCAGTATGAGTATTTTATTCTTGAGCGGTTTGACTGTGATCGAGTTGTATGCCATTTGCATACCTTGGATATTTGGATAGTAGTTAAGGGATGAGTTCTATTGGAGAAGGTTACTTAGGGTGCAGTAACTGTAGCATGCCTTGGAGGTACTTGGTATGTCTCGCTAGTTCAGAGTCATATAAGTTTTAGAAATGGACATGTTAGATCCCTAGCTATAGTAAGCTTGGGATTCCTCAGCAGATTGATTATGGAATGGTAGCGAGGATTGGGATTTCTTTTCGAGTATTGAGTAGCAAGGGTTAAGCAGGATCGACGTGGAGGAGAATCCTCCGAGTGTACAAGGGTAAGAGCACGCAAATCCAGAACGAGTACGTGAATTCTGAGAAGGAAAAGA